GTACTGAGACTCCTCGTACTTCTGGTAGAGAAAGGAAGACACCAAAATATTTAGAGGATTATGAATGTGTTGTAAAAGGCAATGAGATCACAATTGATTACTGCTATAGAGCAACAGTGGGATTGCCACAAACATTCTACGAGGCAATGGCTTCGCCAAAGTCAGAAAAATGGAGAAAAGCTATGATAGATGAGATGACGTCTTTTAAAGAGAACGACATTTTCACCCTTGTTCCATTACCGGAGGGTAGACAGACAGTGGGGGGAAGGTGGGTGTATGTTTTAAAGGAGGATGACAAAGGAAATGAAACATATAAAGCGAGATATGTAGCCAAAGGGTACAGTCAGAGAGAAGGACTTGACTATTCTGAGACATTTTCGCCGACTGCTAATCTGACATCACTGCGACTACTGATGCAGCTTGCTGCGCAGTATGACTTGCTCTTAAACCAAATGGACGTGAAGGCAGCATACTTACATGCACCTATTGACTGCGAACTATACATGGATCAACCTGAAGGTTTTTGTGTGAAACAAAGGGATGGTGTACAACTTGTGTGTAAGTTAAACAAATCCATATATGGGCTCAAACAGTCTGGGAGAAATTGGAACATGATGCTTCATGAGTTTTTACTTGAGAATGAGTATGTACAGAGTCAAGCAGACCACTGTATCTACACCAAAATGTCTGACAAAGAAAAAGTGATTTTGTTAGTGTGGGTCGATGATATCATTGTGGCTGCCAGCAATGAGAGGGGTTTATGCAAGATCAAAGAGAAACTCAAGAGTAAGTTTAGGATGAAAGATCTCGGATGCCTCACTCATTTCATTGGGATTGATTTCAAGCAAAATGTGGGCTCAATCACATTAAACCAATCCAGATATATTGAGAAAATATTGGAAAGGTTTGGCATGTCTGAATGCAAAGCAAGAGGCACTCCAAGTGAAATCAAATGTGACCTGACTTCAGAAGGGGACAAAACCGATCAGAGGAAATATAGAGCAATGCTGGGCAGCCTCATATACATCATGACCTGCACTAGGCCCGATATTAGTTGGATTGTGAGTAGACTATCTCAGTATATGTCTGATCCAAGAGAAAAGCACTTGACAGCATTAAAACATGTGTATAGGTACTTAAAAGGAACTAAGAACCAAGTGCTATGTTACAAAAAGAGTGACGCACAATTAGAGTTGGTAGGCTACTCCGATGCCGACTGGGCAAATGATAAAGAGGACAGAAAGAGCACCACAGGCTATTGCTTTAGTCTGTCACAAGGGGGTGCTATTGTCTCATGGAAGACAAAGAAACAACAGACAGTTGCACTTTCAACTTGTGAGGCTGAATATGTTGCACTGGCGGCTACTATTCAGGAGGCACTATATCTTACACAAGTTTTGAAAGACTTCCATCCAGGATTTGAACAATCCACGAAGATATTCGAGGACAATCAGGGAACGATACGCCTTGCAAAGAACCCAGTGTATCGCCAAAGGAGCAAGCATGTGGACATTAAATACCATTTCATCAGGTCCAATGTTTTGCTGAAAAGAATTGTTCTGATGTATTGTCCAACAGATAGCATGGTAGCAGACGTGTTTACTAAATCTGCTACAAGGGCAAAAATTGAAAAGTTTAAACCCTATATGTTCGGTAACTAATGCAATGTTAGTGCATGTGGCACCATCGAGTGGGGGTGTTGGGTACGATGTATGCCACTATCACTGTTGTTCCAATGTGTGGCACTACTTTGTGTGGAAGGACACCATGTTCTGGGGTGTATATAAATAAAGGGGGTGGAGCTTCCCGGCAGTTCGCTTTTGGCAGTGACGATGCACTGAGGCACATCAGGTGTTGAGCGACTCAGTGGTAGCGACACACAGAAAAATAAAAGAAACGTCTCCAGTCTTGTGCCTCGAACCGAGTGTAGTCACCAGCAATGATGCCTACACATGACCAGCGAGAGACTTCCGCAGCAGAAGGATCAACAAAAGGTTTTCAAGATTTCAATAGGTATGGGGGATTAATGTCGATTTTGAGATCATCAGTTGTTTTATAAAAGGTATACACCGGATATCGAACCTGATCTGCCAAAATGTTGAAATGAAAACACCGATTCGTAATTTTGTTGGTAAATATCAGATCGCTGTAATAATTTGCAATTAGACTCGCAATGAGATAATAATCAATCAAACTTGTCACTATTTGCACCCCCCAAAAAGGGGGACATTTTGGAATTGTTGTTGAAGTCGCACATGACATGCTGCATGATAAGTCGAAATCCTCAGTTTTTGTTCCGACTTTTTGAGCGTTCAATTGTGGTAGTTTGCGGTCTCTTACCATTTTTTTATCATCACTACTAAGAGAATCACCAGCATCAAAACACCTCCAGCTGCAATAATAACATAAAGATACAGCATCTTACCTGTATTAAAACAAAACAGGGTGGAAAAAATCAGAATTCATGTCATCCAAACTGGTCATTCAATCAAGTGAAATACTTTCTTCCATACTGTGAACTGGTAAAGTGATGGCGGCGCTGGCGTTGCCCATGGCGTTGTTAGCCACGCAGTAGACCAATTCAGAAGAAGGAAGAAAAGCGCGCAGAGTGCCGATGGTAATGGAATCATGTCGCTCTACGTCAGGCCTCGGAAGGAGTGTGTCAGGCAGTGAAAAATGGACATTGCTGGGGGGTCTGGACTCTGCAATGCACACACACTTTACCATCTCCCCGTCGGAGGAGCACGATGAGACGCTCTTAATCACAGGGGCATCTATTGAAAAAAGGCAAGAAAGACATACTTTAACCCTTTACATACTGTTCATTTGCATGCACATATTGTATGTTGTGTGTCAATTTTAGCCCAAGGCTAAGAATATCCTCATAATAATGATTTATATCAAATTATGAACTATAGTACAACTTTTTTAAAATTATCCTGTCTGATATTGATAAACGTCAGTGAAATTTGACCCGAACAGTATGTCAGGGTTAAATCAAATCACCACAAAAGTGACTTGATTGTTTACTTACATGTCACGTTAAGCTGTGCGGGTGATGATGTTGCTCTTCCCAAGGCGTTGGTAGCCGTGCAGTACAGGGCCCCCGTGTGTCTGGAGACGTTTGCCAGGACGAAGACGCTGCCCTTGTGCAGCTCAGCACCGTCTTCGTTATGCCACTCGTAACTGATGGCGGGAGGGTTCGCGTCGCAGCTGCACTTCAGGCGCACGGCCTCGCCCTCCTTCACGTTTGCGTTGAAGTCGACGTGTACGTTCACGGGGGCGTCTGTTCAGAAACACACGAAAGGCTGCAGCGGGGTGTGTAGAATTTTGTATGCGCATTTAGAAATGAAAACAGATGGATGGGCCTGGTCATTCACAGGTAAGGAAAAAGCCAAACAACAAAAGTGTGGTATTATTTCGAAGTTCACACTGACACCTGTGCACCAAGCGCACGTGTTAATTTCTGAATCCATCTTATGTTCTAAAGCAACCAGAAGCTCATGCTTGAACTGTTTCCATCTGGAGTTCCTTGCGCACTGGCGTCCCCAGTTAGAGGGCGCACCGGCGCGCCATTTTTGGTGAACTCTGAATAACCAAACGGCATATTTGGACAACACCAAACGGTCGGAGCCAAGCAGTGCGCGTTTGCAGCGTATTCCGAATAGTTACCGGTACAGAAATTGCACATGAATGGTAATCAGTCAGCCTTGTATGCCTTTTAGTTCCTGAAAGCAAAACGATACCAGTACCGGCCAAACCTAAAATATAAGGTGTCGGCCCAATACAGGTATGTGGTATCAGTACTCGCCCCTCCTTATTTAATAGTCAGCATCTCTGGTGATGATGTATTCCACTAAAATGTTTTTGTCATGTTATTAGATAAATATTGATTCAAAACTGCTCCAGATAAAGTATGTGGCACAGTTGTGTGCTGTTACAGTATTTGGGTGGGTGGGGGGGGGGGGGGAAGTTAGAAGCTAGTTTTGACATGATAATGTTGGTAGTAAAGAAGTAGATTCAGTCCCCATTGGAGGCCACCTTTTACTTACATTTCACATTTATGATCTTGGATGCTTCCTGTTGCTGCCCCCCCTTGAATGTGACGTGGCACTGCAAATGCGTGTTGTTCTCAGCATGGGCAGGATGGAAGGTCAGTGTGGACGTAGCTTCCCATTGGCCGTTTTCCAGGGGTCGAGTCTGATAATGTTGATGTCCAGGGTGACTCCATAGGATGACGGGAGGAGAGGCGGGGCAGGAGTGAGTGACAGAACAGGAAGCAATCACAATTGGTTGTGCCGTATCTTCCGTCACAGTTAAATTGACAGGACTTAATGTACCTGAGAATACAGAAAAATGTTTTGTTGTAACAATGAGTTGGAGAACTGCAATTAAATGACAAAATGAAATGTGTCAGTGGTTCAAATATCATTTGTGTAAAGTGGTAGTGCACATATTTGTTTAGCTATGTGTGATGTCACGTTAATTTGTGCGAGTGTATTATTTAGGTTAGTAGTTGGTTTGTTTTGAATAATTTAATTCCTGAATATAGCAGATTCATGATTGTGTACATGCTACATGCATAGTGTTAGCGCATTATGATCCTCTCCGTTTTAAATGTTTTGCTGCCATCAAGTAGCATCAGTTTTTTTTAAAAACCTTTGGTGAGGACATGATGGAATAAGCGTACGTTATGATACAAAAACACATTGCTTGCTGTAAACCGCTTTGAATTACGTTATGCCCACAAAGTCAGACATTAGCCCATTCAACCACCCCCATATTAGGACCGCCTCTCTCATGTTCAGAAAAAGAGCAGGAGGGGGCCAGGATGCTGGACGATTTTGGTGCGCTGGAGGCGAGTGTCTCCTCTTTTACAAAAGATAATCTCTGACTCTGGTTGTGTTCTTTATCTCCTGTCTCGATTTGTTGCATGTCTACTTAGTAATATTTGTAATTGTACTGTATAACCTTAACATGGTATCAGTTTTTATTGACGGACTTTCACAAACACAGCAGAAACCTTTTCCTAGCGTCCATGAATAGCAAGCGGTCACTGTAGTTAACAGACAAGCTAAGAGTGAGTCGAACTTCTTCTTCCTGGCTTCTTTTGGTTTAAATGTTTGTAATATGTGCATGTATTAATAACGTGTTCGTTTTGTTTTCTGTTCACTGAGAATTGTATCCTGACTTGTTCAATAAAGATTGTTAAAAAAAAACTCCTTCTTTTTCTTTTTCTTTTTCCTTTTCTTTTTCTTTTTCTTTTTCTTCTTTTTCTTCTTCTTCTTTAGATTTTCCAGGCAGTTTGGATTCCCCTCGGCCCCACGCTAGCTCTCACAGATCTGTCTCGGAACTACGACAGACATCTCATTTAGGGGAGGAGACCTACAATTGCCCACGGAGATAGTGTTCATATCGGAGATGTGATGTGTCTCAAGTACAGTACAGCACACGTTACAAGAACACGCTTGCCAATATTTTTCTTGTTATGTTTGGAGACTTTCACATTTTAAAATAATATGTTAGGATGTTAAAAATCGGTATGTGTGTAATGGCTGAAGATGTATTTTCATGAGATTTGCTGACATTTTGCAGCATGCCTGTTCAACCTAGTTTTAGTGCAGAACATTTCAGGGACAATGTATCTTGATAAGAACTTTTCGTCTGAACAATCCATGTATCATTTGTTCATTTGTTTTTCAGAATAAAATAGAAACAAAAAGAACATATATTGAGAAAAAAAGTATTATTATTATTAGTATTATTATTATTATTATTATTATTTCTTATTTTTTGTTTGCTTGTGTGTTTTGTTTTTTTGTTTTGTTTTGCGCTGTGAAAAACGAATAAATGAATGACTCAAAATTTCAGACTATCACTTGGAAGTTGGAGGTCCCACTGCACTTTATATTACAACTTGTAAAAGCTGAATGGTCACAAGATCTATAACTACGTACACAGTATTGTTCAGTATTACATCCTCACGCTTAGCTCGTATAAGTCTGCTAGAAATGAAAGATTTATACTTACGTATCATTTGTACGGAGACGGTCTTGTCTCGGTAAGAGAATTTTTCAAAGCCTTTCATTTCAACCCTGAAATGAAAAGGCCCTTGGTCGCTTTGCTGAAGCGGGTCAATCTTTAGCGAGCAGTTCTTCTGTCTTACATCTCCCACCAGCTCGGTTCGACCTTGATACTGCTGCTTTATCTTTGGGTTATTTGGGTGATAGATGAGGTGATTTTCTGCCTCCAACCAAATCCCGGTGAATTCATTGATGGCCATCTGTGGGTCGGGATAGTTAAATGAGCAGGGAATCACGACACAAGATCCGGGGAGTCCTTTCACTGAAGATGGCAACTCAATGGTCCAAGATGATGCCTTAACACAGATGACTGCAAAAGAATGCAACATACTAATGTGATTATTCTCTGTGGAGGGGAAATATTTAAATGAAGAGATGATACCATACCTTCAGAGAAAAAGAAGAGAAATAATAGAGAACTATTTACAGTATTCATTTTGTCCTCTCGCGACGTGACCTGCAAAGAAAGTCCAGGAGGGTTTCTAGGGTGCGGCACATGTGCGACCTCCCTCCAGCAACGCATCCAACCACGTGTGAAGACAAAGACAACACTTCAGATAGCTGAATCATTCGCTTTCATTTTCGGTTAGTAGTTATTGTGTCCATTTTTTAAAAAGAAAAATCATAGTTGCGTAATAGTAGTGACTGTCAGCCGAAATCCATATTTTCCTCGTGCTTTATGTCATAAACTAACTCAAAGAAAGATACAGAGCATTCTCTCCATTTTGTGTTTTATTCCTTCTTATTGCCAAAGTGTGTCTTTTTAAATGCCTGAGTAAACACTGATGGTATCGTTTCCATCTTTGCAAACGGAACATCTTTATTTTAGTCACCACGACTTCCCCTTTTGTATTTTTATGCCTACTTTTTGGACAATATTAATCATTTCATGAAACCACTGTCGTCAACAAGCCCACAGAAGTTCTCAATATAAGCCTCTTTATATTTCAATATTTTCCTTTTTTTTTGGACTGTTTGATCATGTTGTGTGTTTTACACACACACACACACACACACACACACACACACACACACACACACACACACACACACACACACACACACACACACACACACACACACACGCAGTCTGGATTTGAAACCATCTGTACTTGGGGCTGGCTGCCTTTCTGTTGGCAGTTGATTCCATTTTCATGCAGCATAACAACTAAATGCAGCTTCACCATGTTTACTTTGAACTCTGGGCTCCACTAATTGACCAGATCTGCAGATCTCAAAAATGTACTCGCTCTTCGACTGCCCATTGTGCATTTTTTTACTCATAATGATTAATAATAATAACTTATTCTTGTATGATATTAAATTATCTTGAATGTTTTCTTTCTTTGAACTCATTAGAAATCTAGGTGACTAAAAACATAGCATATTTCATTGTGTGAAAAAGTTTGCCATAATATTCCAATGTTTTGATGTAACCTTGTATCGCATCTAAATAATAGAACATATTGTCTTCACACTTTTATGTATCAGAAATGTACAATCCAATGCATGAAATTATACATCATACAGATCTATGGAAAACAAGGTAAAAACAATGTAAACATTGTCGTATACATTTCAAATGTCATCATGACAGGATTTCCGTTTCTCACATGACACACAAACAGGAAGGCCTTGCTCCTTCAAAGCAAATATTGCAGTTTATCAGAACAATACACTGAAACAAACAAAGATGAACCCCAGTTTGCTGTTTTTGTCCTGAATTTCCCCTGAGGCCCCATTTCCTGTTCATTTCCTGACAAAACTCAAATACTGGAGAGTCTCTTCCAGATTGAAGCTGATCACGGCTCCCCCACAAAAGCAGGGTTCAGCATTCCACCGCCATTTGGAAAACAAATGTCTTGGTCCTGCAGAGCCAGGTGGACATAACGAACGCTCTCTGTCAACGGGAGGTTTTTCACAGAGCGTCTTTGCTTTTGTTTGACGCTCCAGAGATCTTCTTCACATTGGGTCAAGAAATCCTCCAGCTTGACGGTATCTTCTTTGGGCCGTCCCCAAGATAGTCTCCTTGGACTTGGGTTGATGAAGCTGAAGGATGCCAGGTTACCCATCACAGGAAAGGTTCTTGATTTGAAGAGATGAAATGGGAAACATTGACAAGTATTAGCCCAAAAAAGAAAAAAAGAGCATATTCAGCAATTACATGTTCAAGGAAGTAGGATTACCAGAAGAGGTCTTTACTCACTGGCCTTAATGTTCCAACAATGAACCTGAAGTTGTTTCCCCTCCTCATTTTAAAGTGTGCCTGCTATTAATGGCATCTGATTGAGGGGATTTAGGAATAATCATGGCGGGAACAATACAGGTTGATCACTGCTGATTAATGGCTGTGAGTGATAAATTTTCTCTATTACTAACACAGCCACTCAATCTGGAACAGGAACACACGATCAATTTGAAAGAGGAAATGTCATCTCCACGGTAGGATTTGCTTTGTATGCAAAACCTTTCAGGTAAGCTGGTTCATCGACAGTTCAGCACAAAAGTGATTCATATCCATGCCGATTTACAGTCGGTCAACTGAATTTTTGTACGAAATGAGTGAGGATTTTTTTTTTCTGTACATTTTGCACTTTTTATTATTGTTAACGTTTTGACGACAGACTTATTCATATCCCATATTCTTGATTATTTTGAAGAAACACAGTCTTTTGCATCATTTTAGAGCAGGGACGAGCAACTGACAGCCCGCACCATGAGTTACCCCAATTAATCACCCCACCCCCATTCTGAACATGACTGTTTAAAAAAATGACAATACAAAAAAACTCGCTCCCTCAAAAATGTTATGTTTCAGTAACTTCTCTCGATATAACTTTATATATATATATATACACAAAACCTAGATCACTGAAAAGTTTATTAACTAACAATATCTAATGTCGTTAATGGAGCTACCATTGCCTAAACTATAGTTCCGCTGTATTGAGACAAGAAGGAGCTCTGACTTTTGCCCAAGAATTGAGACCACCCTTTCATTTGCATTATTACTTCTCTCTGCACTTCTAATGTTTAAAACCCTCCTCACATAGTCACAGTCTTAAGAATTTCACCCGCAGCTCATATTATCATTTTGGTTTGGAAAAAGAACATAATTCTATTTCATTGTTTTTCTTAATTTTTATTTATTTATTTTTTTTGCTTGGTTTTTTTTTTTTTTTTTTTTTTTTTTGTAAATCCAAATTAATTGATCAGCCAAGCAGAAGCTCCAGCAGGTAAGAACGTGAAATATTTTCCATACATTTAATGACAAATTCACATTTCAATTTTTAGTACACACTGGATGTGTCAGACAGTATGAAATTAAACACGAGAAATGTGAAGTTGGTGCAGCGACTCAAAAATGAAACAGATGGCAAGGAAATGGTTTAAGCCTAAATCAATGAAGCAGAATGCCATAGCTGCTATAAAAAAAAAATCACATAATTGTCACACAAATAGAAAAATACAGCTCACAACTATAAAGAGACACATATTTCAAAACATGATGCATTTTGGGATGTGAAATGCTTCTTTTTCACAGAAATTGTTGCAGCTGTATCAAATTGAAGAAGCATGAATTTTAAGAGAAGGCTAATGGTGTTGTATGTGCTCATAGCAGGTAACAGAGTCTTTTTTTTGTTTACAATAGTATTCTTTTTTTAATCGGTGACACATATCGCCATCATTTTGAAAATTTTCTCTTTCAGGTTGTCGTGCTGCTCTTAGTGGCGAATGGAAGGCCACTGTTGTGAAGCGCATTGACGCCCTGGTAACTTCCTGTGTGGTGTTACCCTGCTCATTCAGCCATCCGAAAGAACAACTCCCCAGCTCCAGACTTCGAGGGATCTGGCATCTTCAAACGCAACGTGACCAACGCATATACCATCAGGATGAGACAAATATCTTAGCCAGCTTTCGAGATCGCACTCGATTGTTGGGGCATTTGGGTCAGGGGAACTGCAGCTTGGAGATGACGCAAATCAAAGACTATGACAATGGACCTTTCTGTTTCCGCATTGAATTAGCGCCAATGGAAGGCGATACATCCAGCAGTGACAAATTCTCCTTCGTCGAGGACTGCGTCAAGTTGAAAATGCTACGTAAGTCAGTAAGGACTTCTTGGTCCATATTAGGGATGGGCATAAAACCAGAATTCCTATTTGAATTATGTGGAACAAAGTGTTCGTGTTCATTAAAAGGGAGACCAACCCCCCCACAAAATATGAAAGCAAAAATTATATTGTATTTGCCAGCACGAGTCAAAACCTGATACTGTTATCAATATTGCACTTGTGGAATAAGCGTTAAACAGGATAATTCGACAATCGTTTCTGAAGTGTCATCAGATTGTATATACATATCGACAGCGAATGGCAAAATCTTCCTTGTGCAAACCCCATGTCATGGATCTGTTTGTGTCCAACAGGTGGCACTGTAGGGCTCCGCCTGCAGCTGCGCACCAGTTGGTCATTGTGTCGTTAGTTGTCACTTTAAAAGACTTGATGCCTGACCACTCAGTCTCGGGTCATTTTTGCTGTCACCGTCACTGTTTCTGTTGCTGTTTCTAGAAGTGTTTTGCTTCTGCCATCGGTTTTTGTTTGTTACTTTGGATTCTTGTTGTTTCCAGGACTTAGTTTGTTCTGGATTTAGTTTTCTCAGCATTTTATTAATACAGTTTGTCAGGTTCACCCTGCTCCTCCCACTTGACTGCTTTTTGGGGTCCTTTAATACCACCATCAAGTGACACCCCATCCATGAAAAATATCGATAGTAAAGAAGGCGCATCCAGACAAACAGGCGGCTATGTAATGATAGTCATTTTTGGCAGGCAAAATACCCCAAAAGATTGTTCGATAAATAATCTAGTTTAGTCAAATACCCATCCCTAATCATCAGTATTAGCGCATACTGTCGAATTATGTGTTATTTAACTGTTTCAATGATGTTCACAGCTGCCCCTCCAAAACCGACGTTGACCCTGCACGCAAACATAGCATACGAAGGACTTCCTTACACCGTGGTCTGCTCAGTGACCTACACTTGCCCTACCCACGGGCCCTCGCTGACATGGAGCAGGGGCAATGCACACGAAGTCACCACCGTCATCAAGGAGATACACAGTGGGTTTTGGGAGGCTCAGTCCATCCTCATCATCATTCCCGAGGCGAAGGACGACCACAGTGAAGTCACTTGCAAGGCCAGCTTTTATGGAGGGATGTCATCCTCTGACAAGTTCACCCTGTTTGTCAAACGTGAGTGAATCGATGCTTTCATTGAAAGCGTAGACAAGTCAGATTGTCGATTAATAGGTTGGACTACAAACTGTTTCTTGAAACTTTGATTTGATTGAGTTTAAAAACAAAATATTCCAAATGACATCACTGCTGAATTTTGGCAGGGTGCGCCACAGCCAGCCCAACCCACTGTGGCACCTTAGCCAAGCTTTTATATGGTGTTCCCTGACACTGGTGATTTAAATTTAAAGTAACACAATTATTACAATTTAAAAAAACAAACAAAAGCAACTCTAATACATACAGTATATGTTACTATAAAAGTATAATAGAAGGTTTTTTTTTCCTCAAATGCATGCAGTCTTAGATTACAGTAGAAACAGGTTTAATTGTCAGTACAATGAAATGTTGATAAGCAAGTGCAAAGATGCAGTAAACTGCTGTTTAAGATGGAATGTGGGAATGCAAAATTATGGAGTAATAATAATAACATTAACAATATGTACTTAAAAATGATTTAAAGTTTAAAAAATAAGAATTAAAAACTAGGATTTAAAATGTGGTATATGAAGGCATGAAAAGGAAAACATTTTGATTTAATGTTAACAGCAGGACGAATGTTAGAGAGCCAGATGTAAAGAAAGCAAATAATACAATTCAGGTATCTGCTGAGTAGGTTTAATCTCTGCCAATGATTAATGAGTGTACAGAGCAGAATAAAATTTTTTGCTGATTAGCATACCATGGTAAGCAGGCTAATTGCTCATAAGCGACTTAACGATGCACTGTTCGATATTAGACTATTGTGTGTGAGTCTACGTGTGTATTGAATAATATAATCCACTTGTAATATTAGCTGAAAAGCGCTTTCAGTTCTTGTTTTGTTGGTTTCTTGCAAACCACTTGAACTTTTGTTTTGTAGCCTTCGTAAATGTAACAAATTACATTTACGGACAATAGAGTCGAATCATTTGAGTGTATTTGGATTTGAAAATGTCTTATTTTCAGTTTATATAGCATGCCGATTGTCTTTTGTATCGGAAAGTAAACTTGAACATTTGTTTTTTTTCAGGCACCAAAAACCATCACCACATCATCGTTCCGTCAGTGGTAGCAGTTGGGATCACTGTGCTCTTCGGAGGACTCTGCATCGTCATGGTGAAAAAATACAAGTGAGTCATTTGAGAAACATCTTTAAGGAGCAATCTGATGGATTAACGGTCTTTATTTTGTTAAGAACTTTGTTCTGCTATATATGAAGGCGTGAAAAGGAAAACATTTTGATTGAATGTTAACAGCAGGACGAATGTTAGAGAGCCAATAATACAATTCAGGCATCTACTGAGTAGGTTTAATCTCTGCCATTGATTAATGAGTGTACAGAGCAGAATAAAACTTTTTGCTGATTAGCATACTATGGTAAGCGAGGCTAATTGCTCATAAGCGACTGAACGGTGCACTGTTCTATATTAGACTATTGTGTGTGAGTCTGCGTGTGTATTGAATAATATAATCCACTTGTAATATTAGCTGAAAAGCGCTTTCAGTTCTTGTTTTGTTGGTTTCTTGCAAACCACTTGAACTTTTGTTTTGTAGCCTTCGTAAATGTAACAAATTACATTTACGGACAATAGAGTCGAATCATTTGAGTGTATTTGGATTTGAAAATGTCTTATTTTCAGTTTATATAGCATGCCGATTGTCTTTTGTATCGGAAAGTAAACTTGAACATTTGTTTTTTTTCAGGCACCAAAAACCATCACCACATCATCGTTCCTTCAGTGGTAGCAGTTGGGATCACTGTGCTCTTCGGAGGACTCTGCATCGTCATGGTGAAAAAATACAAGTGAGTCATTTGAGAAACATCTTTAAGGAGCAATCTGATGGATTAACGGTCTTTATTTTGTTAAGAACTTTGTTCTGCTCTCTACTCAAGGAAACGCATTTCAGAACTTCAAGATCAATCCAGGTGAGTGCTGATGAGAATGCCGAGATAGCGCCGCACGATACGTCTGAGGATTTCGATTGTTTTTGTTGTTTAGCATGCGCGACCGGCTTTCGAGGTTGTCTCGTCGCAGGTAAGAGACTTGGGCTTCTTCGGGACTTGTCCATGAACGTGTCATCAAATTCATCTCATTTTCAGGTCTCGATCGGATCATTTGGAACTAGGGCAAGCTAACCAAAGGCAACAAACACACACACACACACACACACACACACACACACACACCCACACACACACACACACACACACACACACACACACACACACAAAATCACGTGTCTAATGAGACGAGTGAGCACATCCACGTCCGGTTGGAGGCCTCTGTGTTCACACGAGGCTCTCATGCAACGTCCCATTCATGAGGCGAACGGGGCTCGTCACAAGGCTGCTATTACAACATCTGCTTGCTCTTACCCCAACTCAAAATTTTTGAGTTACCTAAACTCAAAATGTTTGAGTTACCCCAAATCAAAATTTTTGAGTTACCCCAACTCAAAATTTTTGACTCAAAAATTTGAGTTGCGGTAACTCAAAAATTTGGAGCTGGGGTAACTCAAAAATGTTTGTGGAGTTCTTCTTGAATGGCAAATCTGCACCCTTGCTATACAAGATACGCTGAACTCAAAATCACAATTACATTTCGATGAATTGCCCAGCCCTAAGACCAAGTTACTGTGGGAAAAAAAAATCGAACAAGTCAAATCATTACTTGCGTTAAGCAAGTCAGAAATCAAGTCTTCCAATCTTGCGCAGTCACAACATATATTCCCCACATTAACTGCTGTCTACTGACTGCGGCTGTGGAGCAAATAAAGTTCATTGTCGTCCATCCTTGACCCTGAATGAAAGACCGCACTCATGCTCACCTGTCACGTTGTTCCCCACCCCTCTCGCTTTTCGGACCCCCAAGGGGAAGTGGCATAAGACCTGTCACCCCGCATCACGGCGATGGCCCGAGCCAGTATGTAAACGTGTCAGCGTGTGCCAACTCACAAGTTGGACATATCACTTTGAATATGCGTGCTGACAATGACTGGAGCGTAAAAATGGGCTTCACTGCATCCGGCACGGGCGTGTGCGCGTGCTGCGTATGTACGTCTGAGTCCATCCCGCTACGTTACAGTGACATTCCCAGTGGGAAGGTGCCTGCCGCGCAACTGCTTTCATTTGCTACGATGCCCATTTTGGCCTTCGTGAGCCAAGCCTAGGTGACACGCCGCCTCATCGGCACGCACTCAGCATTTTAGCGTTAGCGTGAAACGGGCTACGCCGGTGAAGTTAGTTAAATCGAGATGTACACGGTCTAGGTGTGCTACACATGCACACAAACGAATTTTCAGAAGTTCTGATTGAGACACGTTTGTGTGTGCTCCGCTCCAATTATCTGATCAAGATTTTTGGGTCAGAAATATTGAACATGATTTTAAATTTAATATTCCTGACCCAACCTGTTTCAGACCCTCTGATCGGGACAAATCCACTCTCAACAAATGCCAGACGGAAGACCAATTGTCTTTTTTGGGCCACCGGTTCGAATTCAACCCGATACTTGCTTATGGCTATATCTACCAAACATAGGACCCAACTGCTGCCCATGCTGTGCCTGTTTAAAAATCACCATCTCAAGTCAAGTCAAGCTTTATTGTCAAATATGCTCTATGTGCAACATACACACACACACACGCACACACACACTCTCAATGTTAATCACACACGAATAAACCATCAGGCCTACTTGTGTACAGTCCCTACTGAGCAGAAAGGAAGTGCAGGTATTTTTCTTTATATTTATAGATATGCTTCATTTGAATAGTTTCTGTTCTCTATTATGATCTGACGGGATATTTAAAACTGTTTTCTCGGGGCTTTTCACCCAAAAATTTTCAAATGACTTGACACCTGCACCAGTTCAACTTTAAATATTTTTTGATGAATTTCTTTTGGCAAAATCAGTGGAATAGTCGATTAGTGGAGGTATTGTTATGTATAAGCAAGGCTAAATTTGACACCTGGAACACCCACATTTCAGAGTTGCCACTAACTTTTGATATTGCTATGTATAAGCAAGGCTAAATTTGACAGGGAACACCCACATTTCAGAGTTGCCACTAACTTTTGGAGGCTTTTGACAATTTCTTTTTGTTTTTGTCATTGAGCATGCGGAACCAGTTTTCGCGGTTGCTGTGCTTTTGGGAACTAAACCCATTTTGACTGTTGCCTGAATAAAATACTGACTTTCTTGACATGGTAAATTTTGGGTCTCAGCTGTAATCCAAATTATAAAAACATACGTTTTCCTCGGGTGGCCCGGTGGACTAGTGGTTCGAGTGTCAACCTCACAGTGTAGAGGTCGTGGGTTCTATCCTGCTTCGGCCTTCCTGTGTGGAGTTCTCCCCGTGCCTGTGTGGGTTTTCTACGGGTACTCCGGTTTCCTCTCACATTCCAAAAACATGCATGGAAGATTGTTTGAACACTCTAAATTGTCCCGATGTGTGAGTATGAGCGCGTATGGTTGTTTGTCTGTGTGTGCCCTGCGATTGGCTGGCAACCGATTCAGGGTGTCCCTTGCTTACTGCCCGAAGACGGCTGGGATAGGCTCCAGCACCCCCCGCGACCCTTGTGAGGATAAAGCGGATTAGAAAATGGATGGATGGATGGATGGATATATTTCCCACTGTGTATCTACAGATATGAGTTTCACTTTTTGAATTGAACTACCAAAAATAAATGAAACCGTCCACGATATTCAAATTTATTGGGATGCACCTGCATCCAGATCTGATTCCGGATATTTACTGTAAGAGCTGCAGTCAAGTGAAGGATTGCTCTCTGCTTTGCACTTATTATTCACAATGTGTTTCATTGCAGGAGACCGAGAGAGAACATGATGGAGCTGAATCATTTGTAAGTGGGTCGAATGGACAGAAAGGTACTCGAAGCCAGTCAATCCGACAGTAAACATGACATATTGTAAATGGGATCCTCGCAGACCAAGCACTTCGACATCTGGAGCTGGACAGAAGTTCTGCAAACCTCCTCGACCATCTCCAAAAAGGTACCGACCTGCACTCAGGCATCATCGCAAAGAATCAAAAGCGAATTATTCAAGGATAATGTTGCAATATTAGATTTGTATCATGACTTTCATGAAGTGGCAATGTTGTGAGAATAAAGTCACAATTATTTTCCTTGTAATATTACAACGTGCTTCTTGTAAAATGAACTGATATTGCATGAATGAAGTTGGGATGTGACAATAACAAATTAAGTCATATTTCATAAATTACAAAAAAGCAGTTATGCTGCCAGAATGAAGTCATAATATTACGTGACAAACAGGATTTAAAAAATAAAAAATTCAAGCAACTTTAATAATGTTAGTTTTTCTCTACTATTAGAACTTTATCCAGATTCCCTTTCTTTTGATATCATGGAATAACACAGTGTTATTATGGCTATAAAAAGAAAAAAAAACACATTCTTACTCTTTTCCATTGAGAAAGTTTAAAGGATAAACATCTTGTCATATTAAAAATAATTTACATGAATTACACATGTATAGATTTGTTCCCTTTTGAGGGGGAAACTAAGACCCTTTAGTACAAACTAAAGAACTATTTGTTTCTAATGTTTTCTTCTTTTTTTTTCTTCATCTTCCTCAGCCAGCCCGGATCTTCCAATTACAAACCGGTAAGAGCCTGACTCCTAATTATTCCACAGGCCTTAAAAGTCGAAGTCAACTCTAACATTTTACTTACAATAATATGTTCTATGTGGCCTCACTTGTCTAAACACGGTATTCTGATAAATAGAAATAATTGGCAAAATCCACTCGCTTTTATCCATCTGATGGCTGTCAACTGAACGTGACATCAAAATTGCTCAGGGCAGAGGAAACGACGAACCACGGCTCACCGGTTTTCTGAGTTTGGTGATGTGACGTTCGCAACCTGAGCCATGATTGGTAGTTTCCTGAGTTTTGAGCAACTGTGATGACAAAATGGCCGCCCCTCTAAGAGGGGCAAAAACAGGTGAATTTTGCTGCTTAATTCATATTCCACTCTCTCTCTCTCTCTCTCTCTCTCTCTC